TCTCATATATTGATGAAAATATAATAAGTTCAGATCTGAAATCATGGCACTCGGGCCCTAGTGACAAGCATTAAGCATAACAAAGTCATAGCAACATCAATCTCAGAACATAGTGGATACTAGGGATCAAACCCTAACAAAACTAACTCGATTACATGATAAATCTCATCCAACCCATCACCGTCTAGCAAGCCTACGATGGAATTACTCACGCACGGCGGTGAGCATCATGAAATTGGTGATGGAGGATGGTTGATGATGACGACGGCGACGAATCCCCCTCTCCGGAGCCCCGAACGAACTCCAGATCAGCCCTCCCGAGAGGTTTTAGGGCTTGGCGGCGGCTCCGTATCGTAAAATGTGATGAGTTCTTCTCTCCTATTTTTTCTCCCCGAAAGCAGTTATATAGAGTTGGAGTTGGAGTCAGAAGGTCTCCAGGGGGCCCACGAGGTAGGGGGGCACGCCCTAGGGGGGCGTGCCCCCCACCCTCGTGGCAAGGGTGTGGGCCCCCTGGTCTTCATCTTTGGCGAGGATTTTTTATTATTTATTGTAAGATATTCCGTGGAGTTTCAGGTCATTCCGAGAACTTTTGTTTTTTGCACATAAAACAACATCATGGCAATTATGCTGAAAACAGCGTCGGTCCGGGTTAGTTCCATTCAAATCATACAAGTTAGAGTCCAAAACAAGGGCAAAAGTGTTTGGAAAAGTAGATACGACGGAGACGTATCACAGCCCACATAATTATTGATTTACAAATCTGAGAGTGAAAAAGTTGCTATGTGTTGGAAAAACAGATTTCACAGATTGATGCTATGATTTTGGATCTACAACACTTCAAATAATGGAAAAATATCCAAACCTAAGTGGCAGTAGTTGAGTAGTTCATGTGTCCAGATTGGGTTTCTCACGCAGAGGAGATGTTTTAATATAAAAAATTAGTACTACCACTACCACCATGTAGGAGGAGTATAAAGTTTGGATCGAAATATCAAAATACAGTGAAGAACAAAGAAAGGCGGAGATGACCTGCGATGAACTTGTGGAAACCCTAATGGGATCTACGGTGAAAGGAAAAGGGAAACTCACCGGAGCTGCTGAACGGCGGAGATGCGCGGACGGACTTTGGTCAGTTCAGGTTGATGCAACGGCCGTATACGAGGTAGTGGTGAAGGTCGACGAGGGCGTCGAAACTCGGGTGAAGAGGTATTGTGAGGTAGAGGATGGAGACTAGAAGGCGAAGGGGGAATGTGAGAAGGGACCCCTGGCCCTATTTAGAAGGCTGGAAAGATAAAGTGTCATGCGTAGGAATTGAGGAGGTTAAAAAATGGATATGTGACATCACAGACGCCTCGATTTTTGGAGGCTCATTAAAAGAGAGGGTATATTAAGATTTGGGCCTTGCATAATATTAATGACAGGTGACGTCACACCGGGTTACCACAATCCTATGAGATGACGTCACGGCGGGTTACAAGATCTCGTAAGAGCAAATGAGGAAGGATGTTTTATAAGTATTGAAGATTGATATGAACAAGTTCACATCAACCTGGGGCCTAATGTTGGGGATATAACTACTGGGTATGAACCGCCCAGGAGGGGTCGGGTTATACCACTCGCGGTTTACCAATGAAGATGGCGGATCATACGAGCCTGGTGATGGCCCAAGACCCAGAGGTGACTTACAGCCCAGGTGGATGAACCATCATGTATGTGTGACTTGTATTGTAAGGCAGGCGTAGTTAGTCACCGAGCCGGACATGTTGTATAAGTCGGCCGGGACTCCGTAAGCCGTCGGGCGTCAACCTGTGTATATAAAAGGACAACGCAGCGGCAGTTTAGGACAAGAAACAAGAGATCGAGAACTAGGTCAAGCATATTCGCTCCCTGGTAATCGAAACCCTAGCAATACAATCCCAAACTGGAGTAGGCCTTTACCTTCATCGTAAGGGGCCTAACCAGTATAAACTCTTCGTGTCGTTTGTCCCGTTTAACCCCTTTAAGCTAACCTAGTTGTGATGGCCCTGCAACTAATTTCTTCTACTAGGACATCTGCCGTGACAATTCCACGACACTCAGCCCTCGTGCTAAACACATGGCATAAATTCCACCATAGAACCAGCCACTATTAGCATTGTGTTGAAGTCTACGTGCAACAATGACTGCAAGGTTATAATTCCTTTCATCGGTGAAAGCAGTACGTATGGGGCTCAAGTCTGGAGCACAAAGCATGCTACAGTCTTACTTGCCTACTATGCATTTTCCGTTAAATAACACAAAGTACTAAATTACGGGGAAATGAATGCTCTTTATTCTACCTTGAGTCACTCCCCTCCTTTCATTGTAACAAAGGCTCGTCAAGAATGTTTCGAACTCAGCTTTTGGTGGTTCGTCAAGCGAACCCTAAAATGGAAGCTTGCGATGATAAGCAAAATTCTCTAGTGAGATGAAAAATGGACTATCATAAAGTATAAACGACACCCTAGACTCACGTGGAAAATATTTAAATTCTTTGACAAATGATTCAGTGAGAAGTTGGTCTTGTTCACACTTATCTGAAAGGTAGGGATCGACACCAACATTATGAACATATTGCTTAAATTCCTCCTTAATGCCCACACACACCATATACTCATCGCAAGGCCATAAGCATGTTTTGGTGGTGGCATCTCGCGTGGAACTTTCACTTGGTTCAACATAAAACCGGCGAGCAGAACTGTCACTAGAAGATGCTCCCGAGGATCATCTCCTCGAAGAACTCCTTATAAATAGGTTCATCATGTCCGCGTACAATTTTCTGAAAATAAAACTTTTGAGGTGACAAAAATTTGTCAACAAAACTTTATAAGGTTGATAGCAACTACTCATTGGGATGTATAGAAGCCATAACAAGCATTCAAACTACTTAAAAAGCTAAGAATTTAACATCCAAACGCATCTACAATAGCACCAAGAGTAGCTAATTATTCAAAATATAAACCACTAAAGCAAAAACTAATTGGACAAACGGTGGAGACACATACCAAGCAACAATCCCCTGAAACAGTTTTGGAAACGGAGCTTCGAGTGAAGAGATCGAAATTCGCGGGTTTGAGCTCAAGAACACCATCTCATCTCAAACCCTAGTTCATCTCTTGTGTTTAATCTTGTTATCGGAACTATAGATTGGTGTTTGTGGATGATTAGTAGTGTTGATTACATCTTGTAGTTGATTACTGTATGGTTTGTTTGATAAAAGTTTATATGTTCAGATCTAATATGCTATTTAATCCTCCTCTTATCTTGAGCATGGTTATCATTTATGAGTAATTAGTTTTGTTCTTGAGGTCACATGAGAAATTATATTGCAAGTAATCATGTGAAATTGATATGTGTTTGATATTTTGATAGTATATATGTTCTGATTCCCTTAATGGTGTCATGTGAACGTCGATACTTCATCATATTTTGGCTTAAGAGAATGCATTGTGGAGTAGCAATTAGATGATGAGTTGCGAGAATGATAGAATCTTAAACCTCAGTTTATGCTCTATTCCGTAAGGGGCCGATCGAATCCAAAAGTTTAATATTATGGTTATAATTTATTCTTAATATTTTTTTTATAGTTGTTGATACTTGTGGGAGGATTAATCATAAGTAGAAAGTTTGTTCAAGTAAGAACAACACCTAAGTATCAGTCCAGTCACATATCAAATTATTAAAATAACAAACACAAATTGAATCAACATGATGAAAGTAAGTAGATGAAATTCATGTGTACCTTAAAAACGCTTTATTTATTATAAAAGACCGTTTTGATCTGTCCTTTGTCTCAAAAGGATTGGGCTACTTTGCTGCACTTTTGTAATATTATCGTTACTTACTCGTTATAAATTATCTTGCTATCAAAATACTCTGCTATTTACAATTTCAGCACTTGCAGACATTACCTTGTTGACAATTACTTTTCATTTCTTTCTGCTTCTCTCATTTCTTGTTAGGTTCGACACTTCTACTTATCAAAAAGAGCTACAATTAACCTCTTATATTTGTAAGTCATCAGTGATGATGATGCACCGGCCATTTCCGCCGAAAGCTCAGCATTAGACAAAAGGGTGGTAAGGACCCATGGAGGCAACTAGTATCGGCGAGGCCGTCGAGCGATCGACGGGGAAGAGTCGAGAGAGGCTCAACTTTTTCTACCACTCTGAAATAAATTTACACGTGGGATAGACATGAGAGGATAAAATATCCTCCCCTATTTAGATTTCGAAAGTAAAAACCAATAAGATGTGGCTAGATCTCAGTTGACTAAAATTTAACGAAGCAAGAAGAAAAAAGAAAAACTTTAAAAGGTGATTTAACGAAGCAAGATGGAAAAAGAAAAACTGAAAAAAGAACTTTGCACGAATATCTTAACGTAAGATCTCACGGATACAACATAGATCTCATGGATACAGCATAACTGAGACTTAACGAAGTCTTACTTGACCGAGACTTAGCAAGACTGAAAGAGATAAAACATAAGATCTCATGGATACAGCATAACTGAGACTTAACGAAGTCTTACTTGACTGAGACTTAGCAAGACTGAAAGGGATACAACATAACTAAGGGATACAACATAACTAAGACTTAACGAAGTCGAGTTACTCGACTGAGACTTAGCAAGACTGAAAGCGAAATTATACTCCTCTGAGGCGAGATAGGGTATCACGGTTGGCCTTAGTTTCCTGCAATTAACTTGTCACAACAAAATCCACCATGTCGATCCTGTCCTGTTTTTCGAGCTGCAAGATGCGACAGCATGCACATATTGCAATTTACAAAGATGAAACCACGGCAGTAAAGAATGCAAATAATCAGGGGAAATGACGTTGGATCATATAGAATCAAACGTAACTTGCACCTTCACTGACATCTGCCGACTGTCCCGTACACCGACGACTCTACGGAAAAACAAGACCAACCAACAGAAGTTGAAAGAAGACGCGCATTTCACTGGGCAACCATTCGATCTCTCAAGGGAAGGGCGCGTGCTGCTTCATCTCCGTGGCCGTGACGTCTACGGCGAACCCCTTGCCGTGCAGTCGCCAGTAGTCGGCGTTCGGGTTGATCCACTCCGGCTCATCCATCTCCACCCTCTCAGCCTTGAGCCCACGAGCGGAGCTGTCCACCTTGCACCTCTCGTCGCGCGCGCGCACCAGCTCGGCGCGCACCCGGCCCGACTCCACGGCCTGCGGCGACATCATGAGCGCCGGCGCGCCGACGGGCAGCCGGTCGCTGCGGTCCACCTGCCACGTGCACCAGAACTTGCCGTACGTCTTGGCCATCCTGGCCATCTCCGAGGTCTGCAGCATCTCCGGCACGCCCACGTCGGTCCACAGCCCGGCCTTGACCTCGTAGGCGTGCGAGTGCCACAGCCTCTGCTCCTCCGGCGGCAGGGCCTCGAAGATGTTGTCCGACACGATGTACTCCACACCTGCAACATCCAGGCTCATGAGCGACCAAACGTGCAAACCGCAAACATAATGGTCGGCGAGGCTCCGGCGGCTGACATACCGATGAGGCGGGCCGACGGCTTGTCGGAGTCATAGACGGCGCACTGGAGGACGTCCTGGTTGAGGCGGGAGACGAAGTGGTGGACCTCGAGCTGCCGGTGCATGTCGTGTGCGTACAGCGCGAAGCTGCACGCGTGCTGCTTCATCTGGCGCACCGGCTTCAACGTCTGCAGCACCTGAGCGCCCATGTCGATCGCCTGCGAGGAGACCGTGGTCGGCCTGCCCGGCGGCGGCGCCGTCCCGCCGGCGCCCGAGGTGGGCGTGGGCGCTGGGTTCTGATCACTGGAGGACATCGCTTCTCGCGCGTTGGCAGATCGCAGCAGGTTGATTGGCGATCAGTCGAGGGCGCGGTCTTCTTATCGTCGTAACTTGGAGGAGTTCACGAAGCTGCCCTGACGCCGCGACGCGTGCTGCTTTAGGCGCAGGACGTGGCGTGCTTGCTGAAGGCGCGAGAACTATGAGTAGGAGCTTCCACCGCAGAACGTGGCGCCGAGGGCCGATACACGTCACAAACTTGGGAGCTCATCATCCTTGAGCCTTCTATGGTTTTAGTTCAAACTAAGGGGCTGTTTGATTCTAGGACTAGCATTGCCACACTTTATCACACATTTTTACCAAACTTGTTTAAGGTTAATTCATCAAAATGAGAGTCACAAGTTGACAAGCCTAAGGAAATCTTGCGATACTTTTTGTGTGTATGCCATGTGGGGCACAAGTGTGGCTTGTCTAAGGTGTGGCTTGAACCAAACACTCACCTAAGTTGATCAAACTTGCCTAACCTTAGATGTGGCAATCTTTGGAAAAGTTAGTTACAAACCAAACAGCCCCTAAAACCACGACGAATAATTTGTACCTCCGTTTCAAATTACTCATACTAAAACCACAATCAAATTTGTCAACGCACCTAACATGCCTGACATGCGGGCCACAGATCGCAGCAACTCGCCGGCGCGTACAAGGACGGCGCGGGCTCGCAAGGCCAACACCAAAGTAACTGGGCCAGAGTGGGTGAACTAGCCCAGCACACCTACTTATCTTACCGCGACCAAGGGGGTTCGCCATCCAGTGGATCAGAACGGCACGACACCGGCTCTCTCTTCTCCCACCTACCCTGTTTCCCCAATTCATATGAACCCTAGTCCATTGCAATTGTAACTTAGCTGTAATCAGATCCTTGGCTATGCTGTATTAGATCGAGAGACATATCTACTCCCTTACATCTGGTATCAGAGACCCATCACCACCTCTTCCCCGCCCTCGCTCTGGCGCAGTTCATCGAAACACGCCGTCTTCGCCAAGCTCGGGTTCAAATCGAAGCCATGGATCCTACCATGAAGGAGTACATGGAGAAGATCACGTCGTCCATGGACGAATTCCGCCTCGAGTTGCGCAACAACACCGCGGTGGTGCGCGCCAACACCGTCAAGCTCGACGATCTGCTCGCGTGGCGGCCAGACATGGAGCGTCGCGTGGAGGATTTGGGCGCAACAGTGGCCAATCTGCAACAGGGGTGCGCGTCTGCGGCGGTGGCGCCTCGTGCGGCAGCGATCGGGCACACGGCCCCCGATCCAATCCTCGCAGCGACCAGCGGCCTCCTTGGCACTAGCACCAGCGCGCGGGAGCTGCCCCACAGGTCTGAGGACCACGGCGACGCATTCCTTCACCGGGAGCAGGGGCCGGTTACGACACCGGTGCCTCTCCCGAGCATAGGTCCGTTACCCTCGTCTCCCTCGGCGATTCCCATTTCATCCCCGTTCTCACATGCTAGTCAACTGCTCGCGGGATTGGGTCAGACCCGTCCTTCCATTTCCTTCCCCAAATTCACAGCGGGAAATCCTAAACTCTAGAAAACGTTGTGTGAGCAATACTTTTCTATGTTTGGGATCCATACGTCCTTTTGGGTGCCGATGGCTTCTCTGAACTTCTCCGGTTCAACAACTATTTGGCTATAGTCAATTCAGAAAAAACTCACTGGGTTTGATTGGGAGTCATTCTCTACTCTGTTGTGTACCCGGTTTGGTCGAGATCGCCACCGGTTGCTAATTCGTCAGTTTTACACCATCAAATAAACTACATCGGTGGCTGATTACATAGAACAATTCCAGCTTATTATTAATCACTTGGCTTCTTATTCTAATGCAATTCATCCTTACTATTATCTCACTCATTTTGTGGAGGGGACTCCGGGCCGACATCCGTGCCCTGGTGCTCGTTCAGAGGCCGCCTGACGACACGGCCTGTTCGATGGCGCTGTTACAAGAAGAAGTAGCGGGTTGTGCTGCTCCGCAATCGCACCAGCTACCGTCGCCATGTGCCCAGGATGTCGGGGGCCGCTCAGGAGGAGTGTTTCCACTGCCACCGCCTCCTCCGCGATCGGTGATTCCAGCGACACCACCAACAGTAGCAGACCGGCGTGGACTCGACTGTGCCCGCGCTGACAACTCCAAGGTCAAGGCTCTTCTTGAGTACCGCCGTGCCCATGGACTCTTCTTCAAGTGTGGCGAACGGTGGGGCCATGACTACACGTGTCCCACCACGGTGCAACTCCACGTGGTCGAGGAACTACTGGAGCTCTTCGGCATCGATGCCATGTTTGACAACAACCAACCTCTACAAACAGAGACTGCGATGGCCATCTCCAAGCACGCTCTCACCGGCGATAAGTCTCCCAAGGCGTTTCAACTCCATGCGTGGCTCCAAGGTTTTGAGATCCTCATGCTGGTGGACTCTGGCAGCTCTACATCTTTCGTCGACACACAACTCGCTACCAAATTGGTGGGCGTTACCCCGTTAGGTCGTGCTGGACGTGTCAAGATTGTGGGTGGCAGGGAGTTACAGTGTTTGGCATCAATTCCCAAGTGCAAGTGGTCATCGCAAGGACATGAATTCACAACAGACATGAAGGTTCTCTCCCTGGGAATGTATGACGCAACACTCGGTATGGACTAGCTTGAGGAGCATAGTCCCATGACAGTGGATTGGAAAGGCAAGCTCATAACCATTCCAGATGAGCGAGGGACAATACACTTACACGGGCAGCCGTCGACAACATCTTCTGAAGTAATTAACAGTATGCAACTCAGCAGCTTGTGTCGTTAGGGTGATGTTTCACACATGGTGCAATTGTACCAAGTCACCTTGGGTACATGAGAGGCGCAAGAGGTCACCCCTGAATGTGTGTGTGCTGTTGTAGAGCAGCACCCGAAAGTTTTTGGGGTGCCTGAAGGATTGCCACCTCGGCACAGCTGTGATCACCACATTCCGCTGATTCCTGGGGCTCAACCTGTCAATATTCGGTCGTACCGCCACAAGCCAGAGCATAAAACTGAAATTGAAGAACAAGTTGCTGAACTACTCAAGCAAGGGGTCGTACGGAAAAGCAACAGTCCTTTTGCGTCGCCTGTTATCCTTGTAAAGAAAAAAGATGGAACATGGCGCCTTTGCATCGACTACCGCCATCTGAACGCTATGACGTCTGTAGCCAAATTTTCAATTCCAGTAATTGAGGAGCTCCTAGATGAACTCATGGAGCAGTTTGGTTCTCTAAGCTCGATCTGCGGGCTGGTTATCATCAAATCAGGATCGCAGAAGGAGACGAGTACAAAACAGTGTTTCAGACGCATTCCGGGCACTTTGAGTTTTTGGTGCTGTCCTACGGTCTTGCAGGAGGGCCATCAACATTCAACGGGGCAGTAACTGAGACACTCCATCCTCTTCTGCGCAAATGTGTTCTCTTATTCTTTGATGACATATTGGTGTTCAGCCGTACATTGAAAGATCACATAGCTCACTTGGGCCAAGTATTCCAGTTGCTACAAAGAGACCAATGGAAGATTAAGGCGTCAAAGTGCAGTTTTGGGCAGAAACAAATCTCATATTTGGGACATGTCGTGAGCGGAGAAGGGGTTGCTACAGAACCTAGCAAGATTCAGACCGTAGCCAAATGGCCCACGCCAATAGATGCAAAAGAGGTGCGCCGTTTCCTTGGGTTAGCTGAATATTATCATCGCTTTGTGCGTCATTTTGGAATCATAGCCAGACCCTTGTTTAACTTGTTGAAAAAGGGGGCCCCCTTTGTGTGGACTCGGTCAACAGATCATGCCTTTCAGTTACTGAAACAAGGGCTGGTTACAGCACCTGTGTTAGCATTGCCTGATTTCTCCAAGCCATTCATGGTCGAAACTGATGCATGCGATGTGAGTGTGGGGGCTATTATGCAACAACAAGGACACCCTATTGCATACATGAGCAAAGCTTTGTGTCCAAAGTTCAGAGGCTTGTCGGCTTATGAGAAAGAATACCTCGCAGTTGTGGTAGCAATTGATCAATGGTGGCCCTACCTTCAGCATAGTAAATTTGTGATTCAAACAGACCAACAAAGCCTCTTCCATCTAGAAAAACAGCGGCTTGCAACACCGTGGCAGTAGAAAGCTTTTACCAAGTTGCTTGGGCTTCGGTACACCATCAAGTACAGAAAAGGGACTGAGAATGGCGCTGCCAATGCCTTGTCGTGCGCCACACACTCGGATCAGCTTCAGACCATTTCTTCCTACAAGCCAAGTTGGATGGAGGATGTTGTTGACAGCTATAACTCCAACCCTCACGCGCAGAAACTTCTTGAGCAACTAGCAATCCATTCGAATCCTAAAGGCCGCTTCACCTTGGACCAAGGGATTATTCGATTCCGTGGGCGTATTTGGCTTGGCGGCACCACTTCCATGCAACAACAGATGATTGCCGCTTTCCATGACTCTCCTCTCGGCGGACATTCAGGTTTCCCAGTCACATGGCGATGAGTGCGCCGTCTCTTTGCTTGGCCAAAAATGAAGATTCATATTCACCATTATGTCAAGTGTTGCCCTGTTTGCCAGCAAGCCAAGCCCGATCGAGCTGCATATCCTGGATTGCTTGAACCTTTGCCAGTACCAAAAGAATCATGGGACATGGTTACGATGGACTTCATCGATGGGTTGCCTCAGTCAGGAGGGGTCAACTGCATCCTCATCATTGTTGATAAGTTGACCAAGTTCGCTCACTTCCTGCCCCTGGCACACCCGTACACAGCCTCTAAAGTCGCTTTGTTGTACATGAATCAAGTGTATCGGCTCCATGGATTCCCAGGTTCGATTGTGTCTGACCGCAATCCAGTGTTCACCAGCCACTTTTGGCAGGAGCTATTCAAATATGTTGGTACCGGTCTGCGCATGAGTTCGGCCAACCACCCACAGACGGACGGGCAGACGGAGCGGGTGAACCAATGCCTGGAGACTTTCCTTCGGTGCTTCACTCAAGC